CGTTTAATTCATTGCTCTCCAAGCGAATATCTGCTACTGGTTTGATTCTATTCTCGCACAGCCAGATTCAACCCTTCTGGTTTCTACACATCTCAAATGGCTGATATCATCAAAAAGCTGACGGTGAATTGATCGCATACATATTTGAATCATGTCCTCGCTGCATAAACAAATCTTTCATGGTTACTATTTTGTCCTCTTTTCCAAAACATACTTGCATTTCATTGAATTTACCTATCAGAAAACATCGCCATCTTTCAAAGAAGGCAACCTGTGCATAGACAATGTCGAGTTAGTAACAAACACCTGCCAAAACAGTATTAAAAATCCCCTGGCAGAATCCAATTTTGTGACATTTCATTTGAGTGTGGCACACTTACCACCATACTAATAGCAAACATTTATTTGTGGAGCAAGTATACTTTTCATAACAAGAAACGAATTTCCCACATCTTTCCTTGAAGACTTGCCGGCACATTTACATTTGCCATTACCTCCGCTATTGCGTTGTACAAAAAAATGCATTTCGTGTCGGTCCAGTACGAACAGCAATTATCAGCGTTTTCCGATACGAAATGCACATTCAAAACAGTGTCGAGGATCACTTGAGCATCTGTTTCGTTAATACGTCTATATAGTAGTGGTTTAATCATAAAATCTTGAACATTTCAGTTGCATCATAAGTCCAAAAATATTTATCGCCCTTGTTATTTATGTTACAACAACATATACAACATCTTCAGTTTTTTGCTTGTTAAATGAACACAACAACAACAAGCGACACAAAGAGCTCCAGATTATGCAGACGGTGTGTTTTATTACATGGTAGGCTTCAAGGGAATAATGTAGTTTTTTATTTGCTTGTTATGACACCGCAATCAATCGGACTCCCAAAGAAGCATGAGAGGAATTTTTCGATAGAACAAAGCAAGCTCTACAAGAGGGTACCCAAACATTTGCTCCAAATTTGTTCCACATAAAGCTTGGAAACAAAATCTAAAAGGATTTCAATGCATGAAAAAATCGGGAAACATCGTATCTCCGTCTAAAAGAGGCGCACTCTTTACATCTGGTAATTGCCTAGAAGTTTTATTTTTTCCATAGTCGGACCCGAGAAACATACATACACAATATGGGCCGAAAGTGGCCAAAATGGGATTTTCAAAAAATTTTCCGCAATTTTTAATATTTCTCAAAACTAGCGCTTGTAAAAAAACAAAAATTTATGCTTTAACTTCCAAAAGTCCATACTTTAGAGTTACTAGTGAACCAGTAATCTAAAGGTGCTATTTGGAGGAGCGTTGACTTCGGGACCGCCACGCGGTTTCCCGCTATTTGCAGATTTTTGAATTGAAAATGATTCTTTATATATTGAATCTACGTAGGAGCAGCCAAGCGCAGCTTTCGCAAAAGTAAGAAAATTATTTTCTTCGCCATCTCTAGCCATGAAAAAAAACCAGCAAATTCATAGATAAATGGCACATGTAGAAAGTGTGTGCCTGAGCATACAAGAAACTTGTGGAATTTTTTTTAGACTGAGATACAATTTTTCGATTATTCATTCAAATCCTCTTAAGTTTTGGGTTCGAACTTTATGTGGAACAAATTTGGAGTAAACTTGGGTACTTTTTTAGCTTGCATTGCTCTTAAACAGTACCCCTCATGCATTTGAATCGACTAGTTGCGGTGCCATAGCAGGCAAATAAAAAACGACATTATTTTTGTGACAACCTAATATTTAGAAGACGGCAAACCAGCAACAGAACTTCCATCTTTTTTCTCCGTTTACCAATCCAAGACTAGCTTTTGAGCATCCATAAGAGATAGGATCGTCTAGCTGGAATGATTCAATCAATGTTGTTTGTTGTTGTTGTAATGTTCAAGCCAAGAGTCATAAAAATCAGTTAAGGATAACGACATGATTCATCATGTGGGCTCAAGAGTTAGTTCATTTCATGTATTATTGCAGTGGATAGATCCCAACTCTCTCTACCATTGGAAACAACAAAGGAAACGCATTGAAAATTCAGATGCAGGGAAAAGTGCGTGGTCAAATCAAAAGCTTACACATTAAAATAAACCTGCCGTGATTAAGCGCAGTAAAACAATGGCAGCATCATGAACGCATCCATGTTCATTGCAAACAAAAGCGTTTGATTGTTACAAAAGTACATGAATCTTCAACATACTACATACAACCTTTCCACACATATTACTTTTGCTGTTTCAATTGCTCTAAGCAAGCCTTTATTTAGCATTCAATGTTGCAGGAAATTCAATTCAAATTGAAATCGATCAAGTTGCGGGTTTAGTTACTAAGTTTTGAATAAATTTTTTCAAAAGCTAGATCCATTTCAACTCCATGACATGCTTACAATCATTGAAGCTCCTTGAAGTTATGAAAAGATGCTGAAGTAGTTTTTGTTCGAACATGCTTTCCACTAACGAGGAGGAGTTGGGCCTTTCGCAGAGAGATGAAAGCCTTTCACATGCAATTTTTGAGCTGCCAGCATAAAATATATCGCTCTTCCTCTCCGCTGGACTTCTACTATCATAATGCATAAAAAGTCGCACGTCGTATGCAAGAAACCGGTCCTAGAAGATTACCCTATTCAAGTGTATAAGCCGCGGGGTGGTCCTAGCTTACATCGACCAGTCCGAATACATCAAAGGACCTCGCAACCAAAGGGCTCTACACTATGCTGCGTATTGCCTGAATAAAACGTGCGGTATAAGAATCGCTTCTCGAAACACAATGAAGCGGCTGAGCAACTCGTGGGAAAATTTGGTAAAGTGCGGCTTATACACCTGAAAATAGGGTAATTGAGTTTTTGACAAACCATTTTTGAGGGACCAAATAAGCACCAACCGACATCGAGCAAGTTTCAAGGTAAAGCTGATTATGTTTTCTGAGCAAACCTTACGATCGTTTAAAAAGTTCTACCAAATTTATCTAAAAGACCAAAATTGGATGTGCACAAATGGCGCTAGCTTAAAATATGTTTTTGATGCATGATGGTGCCGGCTAACACTAGTCAGTTCGGAAAGTCTACTATACAATACCGCTCACATTTTTTGAAAAAAAGACGCGAATGTATGGACATGTATGGACATGTACGGACATGTCCATACATGTGCGGACATGTCCATACATGTATGGACATGTCCGTACATGTCCATACATGTCCATACATTCGCGTCTTTTTTTCAAAAAATGTGAGCGGTATTGTAATCCAGGCGATAATACTTCAAAGAAGGAGACCAACGATCAGAGGGTTGCAAGCGGGCACTTTTTCAGATGATAGACCGGTTAGGTTTGCAAGCTTGATTTTGCAATTCTTCTAGGAGGGAAACACATCTTTACAATTCCAGCGTCCAGAATATCGCGTCTTCACATGCATTATTATGCATGCCAGCTCACTCGGGTAACAGCGTGTGTACCGTCTGAGCCCCAGAGAGGTTCCCATGTGAACCAGCGTGCTTACGTGGTGCGACGCTGCGATTCGCTCTTCTTGACACGTTTCTCCTAAGATTTCAGCGGAAGTGCCCGAGGTTAACACGTTCAAAAGTGCGGAAGACAGCGAGATGACGTGGTACCTATGGGAATCTTGCTGCTCAGACAATTGGAAACCCTCAGCGGGCAGCGATAGCAAGCACTTTCAGTGGGCGGGCGGCGATAACTCGGGAAAAGTAGCGAGCGGGCAGCGACAGGCTATCAGCGGGCTGCCATAATCTTCCGTGAGTCAGAAAATAACTACAGAGCGCGTTATTGCTACAAAAGCACCGAGAAGGCGACGACAAGGCAGCGATAACAGCTAGTTGGCAACGACCAGGAAGCGATGGGGTTGCGAAAGCAAGGTTTTTGTGAGCGGGTCGCGAAGATTCTATGAGCGGGCACCGATAACATGTATCTGGCTGGTATCGATTGATTTGTGCAGTGCTCATCTGTGCACATGTGGATACGTGTCTTTTGCAAGAAAGAGCACGGCGTCATTAGTCATTCATTCTTTCTGTGCGTTCGTCAGTATCCGAGCTTATCGTCTTAATCTCATCCTTATATGTATCTCATTCCCACAGATTTTCTCTCTCTCTCTATTGCCTTCAGTAATCTCACTTAGCAAATATGGCACCACTATTCTCTTTTGATGAGATCGTGGTGTGTAGTTTGGACAAAATTTCTTTTGTTAGCTTTTCCTCTGCATATGTCCTCTCCACGACAGTGGCTACCGTATCTTCTCCAATTTGAATTGTTTGAACTTTGAAGACATTGGAGGGTGAAGCTTAGTTCGTGTTTTTGTAAGTTACCATAACTTTCGTTTGCTTTTCTGAAATCGCGTGAAGTATGCCCGGCCCTTAAGATACGGAAGCGCGATAGCACCATCAGCTGTACAATTACTCATTGAAAAGATGGTCATGCGTCCTTGCTCTCGCTTCATAATTATCACTTTTGGTAGAATCCCAACATTATTTTGATGTGTGGACGATAGTAAATGAAGCAAAATGACTTGATTGCTATATCAATACAGATTCCCTACCGTGAAAACTAGAACGCAAAAGGGGTCGTAACGGCTTCTTTGGGCGCTTTTGGGCTTCTGGGCTTTCGTGTTATATAGCTCGTATCGACTATTTGAGCCGACCAAACACGGTAAGGTAAAAGCAGTTACGCGAGACTGTTGCAATTGTCGAAATATTAGAGTGTAGACCTTCCTCTTTCTCTCTGTCTCTGTCTCTCTGTCTCTCTTACTCACTCTTTCTCTCTTCTCTACTCCTCATCATCGCAGTATATAGAAAAATATACCATTGCGGCAGACTCCGTTTTGATTTCCCGCAAGCGTGACGCCAAAAGACGTTAATTCTGCGCGGGACCTCAAGTTGAATAAGATACTCGCTTAGTCGGCGCCTACCATAATGACTTGTCTTATCAATTCAACTAATTGCTTTCACATGCTCGTCGACGTTTACTTTGTACTCAGTAGCCTTTGATGTCATCATCCACATGAACGATATCATTTCAGAAGCGATCGACACTTTCCTTCCCAATCGCTAATTTCAAACTGGTGTCGAAATTTTGCAAGTAACTTCTGGGCATGTTTCTATGGCGCTCAAAAGACGCCCCCGATACGAAGACACCGGAGCAAGAAAATGTAGAAGTAAGATCGATGCTTATAAGTATTTGCAGCTTATCACCAATCATGTTTAGAAATGTTTCATGCCAAGGTGGAACACGAATATGCGAAGCTACGGACCATCTCACGCTTACGCGACAGTGCAGACAGGGAAAGATTTAGTTTGGATAAACGAGGAGACGTGATGGGAGTAGAAGCACCTCAAAATCAAGAAAAGTTCCATGAAGGATCACCAGCTGCAGGTAAGTTCTAATTCACAGTTTATTCTCAACGCTTTTGCACTCATTTTCCGACTAAAACTGTCTCTTCAAACTCTTCAATCTAACATTTTTCTGATTAACAAGTTTCGATCGCTCCAATCGACCGCTCTCTCGTTTCTCTTAACATCTGCTGTCTCTCCCACGCAAAAACTATTTTGGACGAACGCAACGGCGCCCAGTCCCTGCGTGTCATGAATCGTGTGTACCATTCTCTATCATTCTTTGGGGACAGGAGACTCAAAAACGCTTCTATTTGATCAGCACTTCTGACATATCTCAATTTCAATAATCGACCATATTAATAAGACCAAGGCATGTTTGAACAACTTGTAGATACAAAACGTTTTCGAGTTTTCTGTTCCCAGATTGGGCAGCTTGCGGGTGAGCGTTGTAAGTTGAGATGGATTTCGATAGCTATTCGTGAAATACTGCGTAATTTTTGGCAGTTTAGAAAAGCTTAGGTACTATAACAAATGAGGGGATTTTTTTCGCAAGTTTTGATGTTGTTGTAGACACAGCCTCTTTGACATTCATATTGACAGATGAAAAGAATCTTAAGTTGTTGAGCAAAGAGTCCACCTTTCATGTTTGTTTTGGATTGCCTTAGAGCATGAAGATAGTGTCTATTTGGTAAAAGAAATGTGATCCCAAACCTGCTCGAGTACGCAACAAAGTAACAGATTTGTCTTCAGAACGCATGCAAACGTATCGTAATGTAGCGTAGTAATTTGGAATATTGCAAGAGCAATGCAATTCAGTGAGTGCTTACTGTTTCTTCAAGGTGCTTAATTTTGAGAAACATTGTACTATGGTTCTGATTTCTTTTCCTGTTGAGAAGGCATCCGACACGTCATCACTTTTCTGATATTGTGGATTCACTTGTCTTGCACTATGTAAATCAGGATTAGCTTTTGTTTTAGAACTCACTTTTCTCATTAATCCTGTATTTTTCATTCGAAACTAGTTGTATAAGCCACTTTTAGCTGAAAAACGTCAAATATCATAAAACAGTTGCGATTTATCTCTTCAAGTTCCTTTTTCTTACAGGTATATCTAGAACCATTATCGTGCTTTAGATATTATCCCTCTGAATGACTGTTTTGAACTAACATCAAAAGTTTGATATGATAGGTTTTGAACCACATAAAGTTCCTTTCTTGCATAGTTTTAACCTGAGTGAGGGCATCATAGATTTTGCGCGATTATCTGCGTTGGGATGGTCAAAACATTATGGATCGTCGAGTATGAACAGGACAAAGGGTGAGCTAAAATCGCCTTTCAGTAATCGTATGAACCGAGATAATAACACTGATAAATTTCCGAAATCAATGTCCAGGCCCTTATGCATCCACTTGCAGTGGAGAGGGAGAGAAAAGTCTTTGTTACCAACGCTCTTTCATATTCGTGCTCATAAGTAGGGTTTTAGATATTGACTTCAAGCATAGCCTCAGTCGTTTTTGTCCATTTCATAGGAAAGTTATGCAACTATTTGAAGATCCTGCAAGAAAACCTATCATTGCTCGCATTTTTGTTCACCTAAAAACCTGATAGGAAAGCTTTTATGGAATAAGAAGATGATGGAATAAGATATAATCATGGCTAGACCGTTGCATTTTATTATACGTATGAATTAGCTAGTTGAGCTTGATCTACTCGAGTGTACCATGAATCGTACTTTGTCACAGATTAATTTCATGCAAGTGCTTGCCTGCTAGCGCGCTAGTCCATTTATCTGGTGAAGGAGTGCTATTTTGTATGATCCATTTGACTTTGGCGTCAAAATATAAAAAGTGCGTAATAACCGCAGTGTACGGACATTACATTTAATTTGACGCCTAATATCAGAAAAATGAGAATTTCTTATTTCTGGCCGTCTTTTCGACTTGATTGTATTAATACTGATTATGACATGTTTGTAGCTTGTTTGTAGCTCTTGTGTCTCTTTGTAACTCCTGACCTTCTATGACAGACATTGCTACTCAAAAGAAGGACCTTGAAAACAAATAGATCCCAATTTTGACCGTGATTGGTTCCTTGTGCTTACTGAACTTCACTTTGAAGTACTTTTGGAAGTCTCAGTTTTAGCATATGCCTTTTGGGTTCTATAATACCATCGAGTCGAAAAGACGGTCAGAAATAAGAAATTCTCATTTTTCTGATATCAGGCGTCAAATTAAATGTAATGTCCGTACTCTGCGGTTATTACGCACAGCTTATTTTTTGACGCCTTACTCAAAGACGATGTTGCTTTGAGTTTTATAATCCTGTAGCCTATGTAGCACTTAGCACAGTCGAGTCCATCGCGCTTCTTCTGGCCTTTCAAGTGAAGTGCCGATCAAGTGAAAACTTTTCCTGCTTTTCACAACTCCCGTCAAAATTCTTTTCATCTCATACCGAATCGTTCACGTGCACTCAATTTCGCACAAATATAAGTTGTCTATTACTTTGAAGTTTTTAGCTCGAACTCATCTCTTGACCTTTTCGCTCTCCCAGTAATTAACGCACTCTCTGATAGGCGATCCACTTCTCACAGTTTCTAAAATCGCTCTCCATTTGTAGCAGAAAGACGAACTTCATTGATCTTATTCTCCTACCCTCTTCCCTCGTGATGTCCCTTAGCACTGTAGCGTTTCTTGTACCGAATGGAAAGTATCCGTATGTCTGGTGATCTAAAACATTCATGAAGGGTGGACTCTCTGTTCAAAAACTGGGTTTCTTTTCATCTGTCACAAAAATGCAAGTCTAAGAGACCGCGGTCTCCATCAAAAATTCCGAAGAAAGTCTCTATCGATTCATCATACTGTATGCAACGAAGAAGTTTTTGGCTATGAAATCATGGAAACCAATTTTATCTTCAATGCGTCAATCTTCAAAGAAAACCTGAGTTGTTGAACAGCGAGTCCACCCTTCACTGCGTCACAAAAGCTACCCAAGAACTGCGCTCAGATGAGGAGTGAAGGGCAAAGAAGCAAGAGGTGCCTGAATCACATAGATACTTTTCATAGATTGTACTTATGCTTTTGGACACACTCCATCTATGAGATAATGAACGAAGACTACGCAACGAAAATCGACAGACAGACAGGATGCTGGATTGCGGGATAGCTCCCTCCCTACCTATGTTCACCCGCAAGCTGCTACCCATACTGGGAATAAAGAACTCGAAACGCTCCGTCTATCTACAAGTTGTCTAACATGCTCGAATTTGTTTTATTTAAGTATTGAGTCAACACAAAATGAAATATGTCACAAGTGCTTGTTAACAACGTTTTTGGGTCCCTTATCTCAGAATGAACGATACTTACCTCTTAACTCATTGATCTGCAGCTTCATTCTTCTTGTAGCTGCTGTGAAAGGGAAACATGTTCAGTAGGACACGCCTCCCTCTTTATCCACAACCAAATCACTCCTTACATATCCGTGCTAAGTTCTTGGGAAACCACCTTGATAATTAATGAACTCCTTGGCAAGACACGAAAGCTAGATCGTCACACGTTAACAACTGCAGTACTTTTTGTGATTCTTCTGCAGAAATGAGTCGTTTTTCCTCCACTGTGACTTGTTTCGTGCTGAAAATCATAGGGCGTGCGCCCTTAATCGCCAGGGATCCTGCAGGGAACCGAGATTTGCTTTGGGACAGGGGGCGCGCTCTATTATGGCCGATCTCATAGCTTCCCAACTTCATGAAATCCTTGAAATTCGACCTCAAGTGCATTGTTTACGTCTTATCGGTGTGATGCTAGTTCAGATCATATCAGGACATCATTTTTTTAGGTGATATTAATGGGGACATCAATGAGCAAATCAGTGATACATTCGGGGAGCGCTCACATAGCAGTAGCATAAGAGAGGAGGGTGAAGAGTCGCATACTAGCAACGTAAGAGAAGAGGATGAGGAGTTGTGTGAGTGCATAAACACTAACTGGTTAATGTGGATTAAGGCATGTGAACATACAAGACACATTAACATAATCGTTCAGCTCTAAACGACCGAATACTCTGTTACGCTTTGTATGTGCAACATTGCGGTTTTTCGATGGAAGAAGTGAGAATGATGGAGAAAATATGGGGGATCATCTATGGGAAACCTCCTCCCTTTACAGTAGGTAGTCAATGAAAAAAGGTTCAAACGTAAGCCTTTCTTTTTAGTATCAAGACACAGTGGTAGCAATGGAAAAAAAGATTTTGGCCGAGTATATTTTTTAGTATTTTTGTAGTATTTTTTATATATTTTGGCCGCTTATGCTTACATCTGCGCAGATATCAGTATCATCAGTATCATTATCAGTCATTTTCTTCATAATCAAGTGAAAACTTCAAAGATGATGATATTTTCTATCGTTTCTATTATGTTTATCACTAGAGTTTTTGAAAGTTTTTCAAGGAACATCCAACGAGCAAAGAGATATCGGAGAAGTAGTGCGATGCAATATCTGCGCAGATGTAAGCATAAGCGCTGCAGATGCAGCCTCCATAAAGGTAGAGTTGTACCTGATTATGAAGAGTGTGCAGGTTTTTCTTTCTCTTAGGACCATTGTGCCTTGCATGCAGCCTTGGAGGGAAGAATGTTATGCGCCCTTTACATGCGCCGAAAGGCCGCTGACTTGTCCATTTTGTTGCTTAGAAATTATTGTTTATAAACTAGCAGAATTTCTTGATCATATGAAAGGTGAGAATATTAAGCAGGAGGTTCGATATTCCTTTTTATCATTCAGTTTTTAGTGAAGCACATGGATAAAGCACGGAAAGTGTGCTATCGGTATCTGCATCAGTTCTTTCCACAGTCAAAGGTAATCATTTTTCTCAAAAATTTTCGACTAGAGTTCTAATTTCTCATTTAGATCTTCTCCGAACCTATATCGAGTTCGACTGAAAGCACAGAAGAAGAAGAAGTCGTTGTACCACCTATTCTTCAGGTTCGTCTTTTTTTGCCACTGTATCCTTCATTGGTACCAGTCGATTCCAGTTATATTTGCGCTCACGTAGTGTTTTCTTTTTTCTTTGCTCATTCTAATATTGCATTGAATATTCTTTTGCTAAACTTTTGAAGCTGTTTCGTGCTTCCGGTAGCATCTTAGTGCTGCATCTGAAGTCGGCTTTATCGAGCAGCATACGATCTCATTAGGATCGTAGCTTCTTCCTCATGATTCGCCTAAACAAGATATTTTTGAACATTTAAAGCATATAACTTGTAGGTCCTGCCTCAACTTTCGCAGAATCGTTGCCATACTAAGTTGTGGGGTCCTGGCAAGGAAACATGAGCGAAGAGTACAGTGCAGTGTTATTTTGAGCATTTAACTTCTTCTTTGTTGAGCAAACAACAATTTGACTATGAAAGGGTAGAGATTGTACATTACTGGTCATGTCACTTTACCATGTCCATGCGGGAAGAGGTTTGAGGTGTTCTGCTCCAAACAAAAATCAGGACCAACCATTTGATAGATTTTTAATGCATAACTTAATCGATTCGACAGCTTACTCAAGCGAAAATGCGAGGTATGCCTGGTTTTGGTTCTGCAGTTCTCTGAGTTCCATCACTCGGTTAGTTTCTGGTGCTGTTCTTCTTCTTTTCTGGAAACAAACAGAGTCGCTTTTTGCAGAATTATAAGAGTTCAAGAATTTTTCGACAACTACTCACCTACTTCTACTCGATGTAGAAGAGCTAGAAATTTGTGTTTTTTTCCTGATAACCATTCTTTCCAAAAAGCTACCGTGTCCTTTCATTTGCCGCTCTTTTTTCAAGCCTCTACTTGGGATCGCCTAAGCCGATCAAATCCAAAGTAAAATCTGAAATCGGAGTCAATGCGATGCTAATGTCTGCACAGTATTTCGTATAAACATCCCTACCCTGGAGTGTCACTTCCACTGCCGCCGGTAAATTTTGCAGCTGCTTTTCCCTCCCAGCCTTACGATGATACCTTATCGCGTAATTTTGAATTTGCTGAGGAGGCTCCGTCAGCTGAAGGTTGTCCAATGATTAGACGTATTGCGCGCGCAGGGAGAAGTAAACCTGCTGGAAGATATAACGAAATACGCGTGCGAAGTTCTGATAGCACGGTTCCGTGATTTTGAAATTGTAGTGCACAGTAGTCTAGAAATTTCACCTAAAAGTCTCACCTGCAGAGTAATATTATATCAGTCAGTGACAATTACGCTTCTGAATGGTTGTGCTTCGTCTATCTTCCTAGTCCCGGTCAGATGTTTAGAGACAAAACGTGCTTACCGATTCGTTATTCTTGCATTGTGTGACTGCGATTCACATGCATGTGCGCTAATCGTATTTCGCAGTTCATGGCGGGAATCAGATATACCACAACAACAATCTCATTAAAAAACTAGGACTTTGCTAAACATATAGAGCTTCCCTGACTACTAGTCAAAGTAACTCACAACGAATCAACAACCTACAGATTTTCTATACGCCTTTACTAGAATAGAGTTCACAACTCCTTGTAAATACGCCTGCACCAATAAGCAGCGATGAAGGCAATGTCGCACATATGCGAGCCGCCTTTGCCTGCCTTTCTTTTGGGTATCGTTCTGCCAAAAAATCTGAAAGCTTATCAGGCAATTAGTGATGAGGAAAGGGACAGCTGCATGTTCAAAACTTGCTGCTGCCCCCGTCGTTCAGCCACAGGCACCATGTCAGCATTTTCTTAAGCTACTTCTAAGCCTATAAGTCTATAAAAGTAAGTCTATAAAACGTTCATATGTTTTGCATAAGGAAAGTACTTATAGTGAAGAAGAACGATGATTGCAACGAACATCTAAGTGTAGAAAAGGAAGTCGAAATTTGTGCTCGCCCTTTGTTAAGCCATACTGAGTCGCACTTTCACAACGTCTACCATAGGAGATCTTGAACAAAGATCGTATCAGGTTGAAAGCTTGACAATCTCCAAGGAAGCGTAGGACGCTATACGACTGCATACATGGAGGAACGCTTGATTTGAAGCGTGCTGCATCTGTGATCTTGAACAAAGCGAAATCGTGCCTTCAACAAAGCTGTATGTGAGATAAAGATTGAAGATCTTTGGGTGTAAAGATCGTGGATGTCCGGAAAATCTCTCAGGAATATGTCAACTCTGAAGCTGCTTTTCGGGTGCAAAGGCTTAACCACAACTTCTTCGTAAATATAGTTACGCCTGACCATACGATGCTAAAATCCGTTGCCCACTTCTTTATGATATATCACTGCTTTTGTTTCTGCGGTAGTCCAGATTTCCACTAGAGCGACATACGAATTGCGAAATACGATTGGCTGGCACATGCATTTGAATCGCAGTCATACAATGCAAGAATAACGAATCGGTAAGCACGTTTTATGTCTCTAACCATCTAACGGGGACTTGGAAGATAGACGAAGCACAATCATTCAAAAGCGTAATTGTCTGACTGATATAATCTTACTCTGCAGGTGAGACTTTTAGGTGAAATTTCTAGACTACTGTGCACTACAATTTCAAAATCACGGAACCGTGCTATCTACACTTCGCAAGCCCATTCGCTTTATCTTCCAGCAGGATTACGTCACTCTACATGCGCAATACATCTAATCTTAAACGACTTGCAGCTGACGAAGCCTTCTCAGCGAATCCAAGAATACGCCATAAGGTCATTGCAAGGCTGGCAGAGAATCAACCTGCGAAATCTACCAGCGGCATGGAAGTGACACTCTTGGATAGATGTTATACCAAGTACTGTGCAGACATTAGCATCGCACTGACTCTGACTTCAGATTTTGCTTTGGATTTGATCGGCTTAGGCGATCCCAAGTTGAGGCTTGGAAAAAGAGCGGCAAATGAAACGACACGGTAGCTTTTTTGAAAGAATGGTTATCAGGATCAAAACAGAAACAGAAACTGATCTTATGAATACGACATGGAAAACAGTGGCTGTCACACGCGGTGAGTAGTTGTCGAAAAATTCTTGAACTCTTATAATTCTGCAAAAAGCGACTCTGTTTGTTTCCAGAAAAGAACAAGAACAGCACCAGAAACTAACCGAGTGATGGAATTGAGAGAATTGCAGAACCAAAACCAGGTATACCTCGCATTGTCGCTTGAGTAAGCTGTCGAATCGATTAAGGTATGCATTAAAAATCTATCAAATGGTTGGTCCTGATTTTTGTTTGGAGCAGAACACCTCAAACCGCTTCTCGCATGGACATCTTCATTTTGACTTTATCTCGTTTATCTGCATCTTGTTCTCTGTTGATTTGCTGTTACCTGTTATGTTGTAGTATAGGTTGGCAATTAATGTAAGCTCATTTCGTCCATCTTTATCTTGTTCGCTTTGAGATATCGTTAGGTGTACGTGTATCAAGACGCTCTAAATGATCTTTTGAGTTGATTTCTTTCCTCTGTATCTGTTCCTCGTTGAGTTATTGTTATGTGCCTTATTGCATTATACTAATTCGGGCAATTGATTAATAAAAGATGATGCCTAGCTTGTTTATAGTGCAAGTACAGAAGGAGTAGTGGATCCCGAAAGTGCGGTAAGCGGCAGTGAGCGGGCTAATATAAGCGGCAGTGGGCGGGCTACTTTAAATGGCATTGAGCGGGCTACTATAAGCGGCAGTGGGCGGGATCCTTTATATGGCATTGAGCGGGCTGCTTTAACTGGCAGTCAGCGGGCCGCTATGAAGTGGCAGTGATGTGGAAGCCACATGGCATTCAGCGGGTATCCACAGTGGCAGCGATAAGGCGCGGGGGCTTTTGGTGGGGATTGGTGGCGGCTTTGTGGCTGCCCGCTGAGGGTTTCCAATTGTCTGAGTGGGGAACAAACGATACCTGATATATCATTCCGTAGTTGAAGTTATCAGTGCAGAAATCCAGAATATCTTTGATAGCCATTCTCCACTAATGAAATTTCCACCAAATTTTGGAGAGCATGCTTCAATAGGCTAAGTTTTTGACTTCGATCACTCCCTACCACGGCAACGTTCGCCAAGATTATGCGGTGTGTAAAGGCCAGTAAAAAAGTTTTTCTACGATCACTGTTTGTACACTGATTCCATCTCTCTGTGTTGCTTAATTCAAGACTCAACTGAAATAATACAGCCCTAAAGACTTTTGGCGCACTCTGTGAAATATCTCACGTACCTGTACGAGGTACTTGGCCCACTCGCCGAAGACCTTTTTTAGTCTGCGTACAGGCTTGGTTCTGCAAATAGAAAGGTGCCAACTTTTATTATATTTATTATTGCGAAAATTTTCAGATTCAATAATAACTCACACATTGTATTCGACGGCAACAAGGCCATCGAACTTCTCACTGCCCGTGGGATAGATTCCAGTTTTGTTTTCCTCTTGAAGGAAGTATTCAGCTGTGGTTTGGAGACTGCTATCGTACCGGAGCTAAATGTAGATGAAACTGATAGGTGTACCTAGGAACTTTCCTCTTTATAATACTTCGCATTCGGAAAGCAACATTCTCATTTCACTCTATTCTTTTAGTCTTTCACTCTTATCGTGCATCATCCTGTCTTACAAAAGATAAAAAAAAATTGATGCAAACCCACAAATCCGCGATTCATAAGCGCCTGCATGTCCAGTACAGCTCGATTTAGAGGGTCACTTGGAACATTATCGTCATAGCTTTTGCCTTCCCTTTTCATTGAAACTTGGGAAGGTAAAAATACCACCTAAATATAAAGATCCGAGGTTTTGAATGCAAATGCAAGAACCTCACTAGAATAGCTGCGAAGAGAAGCTCCATTATCAAAGAAGTAACAATCAACCTACCAAACAGAGATATGCTCGTTCGGAGCGAGCTTTTCAAGACAAAACTTTGGACATTATTAAATTAACCTTTTTGCAAACTCCCACGTGTATCAAATTAAGTGGAATTTTGTATGTTTGGCTACTTGAATGTGTTTGCTGATTTACATTTATTCATTAATTTGATTCGGATCCACTATTGAAGCACACATAAAAGTACAAGTTCTCAATTAAAGTGTCCGATGAATGAGCGATGAATGAGTGACAGTTTTTAATGCTCAGTGCAGATGAGCAGGGATGGCGAACAAGTGAAACAAACTAGCCACAAAAATGTTGTAGCAAATTCTAGGTTTTTGGGCATTTTTCTGTGCAAGCATACGTACCACGAGTTCTGTGCTATTAAAAGAAGGGATGAATTATTCGTATTCGATACTTTGATAAACGTAACATCATGAATTTTTTTGGATTGAAGAGAATAAGTTATACGTAAACTTTGAGCTGATTAAGAAGTGTTTTAGAACGATCTAAGCCCTTTTCTTTACATACTGAAAGACTAATACGATTTTGCCATAATCATTTGCAGTTTTCAAAAAACAATGCTGAAATTCTGTGGAATTCAACAGGAAATTTTTGGAAAAAAATTTTGCATGTAATATCATGCAGAAAGGAGAACTTGCGCTCATAGACAATC